CCATGTGTCGGCGAAACCGAGGAGCTGTTCGTGCCGCAAGCGGAACAGGGGATCCGAAGTACTCGACACCAAAGCCAAAACGGTAGTCGAACAGGAACCTGGGGTCCACCACCCAGAACATCGGGCCGCTTGGCCCCGCGCGGTTTGCAACTGGCGTGGCGACATGCCCGCCAGTTGATGGCCCCAGGTCCCGACAGACAAAACGCCAGGCTTGTGCAACTTGGACGCCATTCGGCAGATACGTGAAAGAGCGGCCACCTCGTTCGCACGTCGCCGCGCCTCGAGCCTCCGCCGTTGGACCTCAGGGGCCCGCCGCCGCCTTCCAGCCGTCGCGCGCACGATCCCAGATCCCGAGTATTGGACTGACAACGGATTGGAAGTCCCGAGGCCTGAAGGTTATCTGCAAGATGCGCGCCCACGGCCTGCTGAGGAACCTACAGGGGCACCCTTAGTGCCGAGCGCCAGCCTACGCAGCTCGACCTGGTGTGCGAAGCGCGCAGCAGCTGGCAGAAGACGCATCCGGAGCTCGTGCTCCGAGCCAGCCATATGCTGCGCAATGTCGTCGTCGTGCGCGCTAGCGACCACTCTCGAAAGCTCGCCATCGAGTTGGTACTGACAGGCCTCCAAGGCCTCATGAACATAAATCTTGACCCAGGCCATGCTCTGGGAGCAGCCAGGAAGGACCCCCCGACCCGTTTGCATCACGCGGGAAACCTTGTTGTCAACCTTCAACATACGAGGGGAGGTGTAGACCAACATGCCAAGGTACAGCAGATGGGGTGGGCACTTCATCTTAAGGACGAGCCAAGTGAGCAATCTCGGATTGACAGCATCGAAAAACTTATCCAGGCTCCGATGAAGCGCCACAGAGATGGATCCTTCATGGACGGCGCATTCATGGTAGAGCTCACGAATCAGCGTCGCTTTCAGGGCGGACTGTCCGCTGACCGCCGTATCCCAGAACGCGACGTGCTCCGTAGCCCACCTGTCAATGTCAGCCCCCCGAATCTTGGTGTACAAACAGTAGAGGGTGGGGCACTTACAGATTGGTCGCTCATCGGCTTGGGACTTGGGCAGGAGCGCAATGAGACCCGAGGGGGTCTGCCCAGGCCAGACCATCCGTTCCTCGCGCAACGAATACAGTGACGCCAATGCATCCAACGCTTCAGCTGGAAGCTCGGCGACAACGCGAGGCCGCCGCCCGTCGACTCCGACGGCAGTGGTGGCAGAGAACAACTTACAAGCTTGGGTATCTTGAGCAGTGATGCGGGGGGGGGGCTCTTGGACGGCTTCCAACGCAACGCCACGGAGGTCACACATGGCGCCACCTAGCCTCAAAACCTCCTCGGGGGAGACCTGTCAAAAGCTCCCCCCACAGCTGAGCCCGATGATCCATCACTTCTTCAGGCAATTATTCGACTCCTCCTGGGGCTGAAAAATCCAGCCACACTCTTATTGCCACGTTTCAGCCAAGAGAGAACCCCTTTAGCCCCGTGCGGTATAGCGCGGATGAGCCAGTCCTTAGGCCTTTACTTGCAGCAGCCTAGGCTTCAGCCCACGCCCGCTTTAAGACCTCAGAGGTGATCTCTACAAGGCAATCGACCTCATCCAGACCAGCCACGGCCTGTTAGGAAACGTGATTGGCTCACCATGGGACAGGCTGAGCGGCAGGCAAAACGGACGAGAATTCGCCAACCCGAGAGACCATGTCCATGATCAAGCCGTTGACGCGGCACTCGGTGGAGTCTCGCCGAAGAAGAGTGCGCAGCTCAGACAGCTTGGCCGAGAATCCCGACCAGAAAGCCAATGTCGGACTGCGATCGGCTGTTCCCATTCCTCCCCTGTGAGTGATGGTCGACGTGACACGCTGACGAGCAGCCCCTCTCCCCCCACACTTCCTATCATAGTCATGGATCGCGGCGCAAGCACGAGAGAGAAACATGCGTTCGGTAGCACGGGACCACAGGGAATATTGTACAGATACTCCGGATGTCGTAATAAAAGGGAGGGGGTCCGGACCCTCCAAGACAAGCCATTTCAGACCTCCCCCGTGGGAGAACCCTCCAGAACATCGTCCCCAGACCCCCCAGGCCCTCCAGGATAGCCTGGAAGAGACCCCCCCCCGAAATGAGACCCCCCTCCCTTTATTTACGACATCTGGAGTACCTGCTCATCCGGGTGCTCGAGTGCACGAGGGATGCGGTGCGCCTCGGCTCCTCATCGGTTGCGCTCAGCTCCTGCATAAGGAAGATCAGATCTACGGCGCACTTGATTAGTGAATGTAATTGGGTTTCAGGGTTTTAACAAATGGTCGCAGCCACGCAGAGGGCGTGCGTAGCGACGCCCCAAATGCTCGGTCTCCAGTACTTCTACGTGGCGGCGCCCCCGCAGGCACGCAGAGGGCACGCGTGGCGACGGGGGCGTCGCCACGCAGAGCTTCTAAAGACCAAATAAGTTGAAAACCAATTGTTTCCACTACCAAAGTACTGGAATGTCTTGTGGGCGGATGCGACGGCGTAACTTCTGGGCCAGCGCGCGATGCGCCCGTCGGATCATGAGGCACCGATGGGCTTTGAAGGGCGACGGCTCGAGTGCGCCAGCTTGCACGAAGGGGGCCAACTCCTGGGAGACCAACGCGTAGTCGATCATGGTGCCAGACCCTTTGTGAACAGGTAAAGTCAATCCCCATGGGCGCCATAACTGTAGCATGGACCGACTGAGAATACCCGGAGCGCCACGTTGTTTCCACATCCATATTCAAGTCACCAACCGACATCCAGGGAATCCCGAGAGAGCGCGAACAAACCCGGCGAGACCCGGCATTTCGGGCAGGTTTTCCCCCGCGACTCCCAGGCACGATACAACATAGCATATTCCACTCGCTAGGGCAGCCTTCTGAGTTTTCATCTCGAGAAACATCCAGCCAGGCCCCGACCCGATATCGGCAACGTCGCCCACATGGGCCAACAACCGCTTAACGCACAGGCTCTTACTGACAGCGATCCCAAAACCCCCGTGCGTCCCGCCCCCCCCCCCGTAGGTGCTCCTGCCTGCCGATGGGGCCTCCAGCCCATCGCAGCTATCTCGCGCTTGGCAACAGGCGGTGCATGCTGCTGCAATCGATGTTCACAAAACAAGAATGGCTCTGACCTCGGACGCAGAATCCTTGGCAACCTTCCGTCATAGGACAAACAACCAGTCGAACACCTTTCTCCTGCTGCTCAGTGGCACATCGGGGGAAGGAGGGACGGTCTCGCTTCAGGTCAGCACAGGCGAGAGTGGCGGTGTTAAAGAGGCTGTCCTCTTGGCACGGGCCCAGAGACACCTTGCCTAAGCAACTCGACAAACTGCGCGTTGATCTGCTCCATGGTGGTGCGCGGGCACTTGGCGGTGCGGTTCGTCGCACGGGCGAGGATGAGGGGCTCCAACCGACCTTGATCGTCAACGCTGAGGATCTGCTCCTGGCCTCGCTTCCGAAGTGTACGACGTTCACCGTCGCCAGCTGCTGCGTCGCTGTCTCCTGCATCGCTGCCAGCGTCGCTGCCAGCATCACCTGCGCGCTGGATGGTAGCCGGCATGGCCGCGAAAGCTGCCCACAGGCCTGCGGGCATGCCGTGCTCGCGGGCCCAGGCCGCGGTCTCCTCGGCGGACATGGTGGCGAAGCTGGGCGGGTCGACCGCCGTGGGGGCAGGCTCGGCCGCTGCGCCACCGGGCCCGCCAGCACCGCCTGGGAGGTCGCCGGGCGCCGCAGGAGCCGCACCGCCGACGGGGCGTGCTGGCTCGGCCGCCGCGCGCGCGGCAGCGGGGGGCGCAGCACGCGGCTCGCGCCGGCGCGCGGCCTCGGCAGTTGCCTCAGCCGCCTTCGCAGCCTTCCAGACCTCAGGGTTGAAGGCTTGCATATCACGGTCTGCGTCACGCTGGGCACGCTGGGCCCTGACCTGCGCCTCCTCGGCCTCCCGCAACGCCTCGCGAGCTTGATCGAGCTGGTCTTGGAGCGCGTCTGCTCGACCTCTTGGCGCGCCAATCGAACCTATCGAGCAGCATCTTCCACGACCGTGGCCAAGCGAGTCCGTTCGATGTGCGCGGCCGTATCCAGCTGCGCAGGCGTGATCGCCACCACGGGGGGCGCAGGCTGCGCCGCCAGGTCGCCCAAGGACTCACGGAACTCATGCCGCGCCGCCAGCAGGGTGGCCGCGGCAGCACGCAGCTGCTCGTCATGCTGGTCACCAGCAGGGGCGGCGGGAGCGGCGGCAGATCCACGTCCACCACCATCCGAGTCGCCACGCACCGCGTAGGCCCCGCACTTTGAGCACGCATCGTTCCCACGACTCGCATACCCTCAATGGCTACACGATGCGCACGCATGATCTGGCGTCTGCTTGCGCCGGCGGCGCCACTCACCTTGCTTGTCCCGCTGCTCAGGCTGAAGCGCCCAGCTCCCAGGCCGGCCCCGAGAACTGCCAGTCCGCTGACCGGCAGCCCCGCGGCGCCGTGGCGGAGTGGGTGGTATGACCACGGACGAGCACGACAGGAACGAGTCTCGTCACGAAAGTGGAGCGCTCTGCTGCGACTCGACAGCAGGCTACGGACGCCCCAAAGTTAATCGCTGATTCGCAGGCGCCCATAGCCTTTCACAACGTTTGGCCTTGAGCCAAAATGGCTACGGGAAGAGGAGGAGGAGTTGGAGGAGGAGGAGGAGGAGGAGGAGGAGGAGGAGGAGGAGGACCACGACGACGACAGGTGGTGATTGGAGGAAGCATCTCCTGCCCCTGCCCTTGCCTCTCTCCTCCCATCCCCATGCCTGCCGTCTGGTGGGCTCTCCTGGCTTCATTTTTTTGGCAGGGAGAGTTTTAGGGGTGCGTTGAAGTTCTCGAGGTCCCAGGTGGTAGCCTATCGAGTGCGCTCGCTTCTGGGCCTTCTCCTCCAGGTGCTCTTCGTTACAGTCGTGGCTGCAGTGTCCCTCCCCCCTTGCGTGCCCCGTGCCGTCGCCTCCTCTCCAG